CTCCCTCCGGCCCGCGCTGCGCGCTCCGCGCTCTGGGCCGCGCCGCCGCCGCCCCCAGCCCTTTATAGCAGCAGCTGCCAGCGCCAGCGTCGCTTATTGGCTGCGGCAACTGAGCCCCGCCTCCTCGCGGCGCCCGACGGCGCGGCAGGTGGAAGCGAGCGCGCGCTGACCAGCACTCCGCACCCCAAGAAAGCACATCCTGGGGACTCGGGTTGCCAGATTCGCGCCCCTTTGCCCGCACGGATTCTGCTTCCTGCGTTGGCGCTCCTTCTTGGGCGGCTTCCTGCTCGGAAGACAGGAAGGGTTCCCCTCTCTCCAGTACCCAGAGTTGGAGGAGCAAAGAGGGCTAGGAGGTATTGGTGGCCCGATTGTAGTGCCTTCAGGAGGTGCTGTCTACCGACAGGACTGGAGAGGGAGGACGAATCAAGACTTCAAGGGAAGAGGCCTGGGTCCTCAGATTTGAGGGGACCAGGTGTAGTCCTAAAACCAAGGGAGGAATGTGGAGGTGGCTGAGAATCTAGTCCGCCTGCAGAAGGAATTAGGATCCTGTGGATTCTGAGCTGGCTAGGTGTCTCTAGGGAGGACGGGCACCTAACAGTGCAGGGAGACTCAGCAGTGCTCCAAAGAGGGTGAAGAAGTTTGGGGCTTAGTGTTCCAGGCAAACCCCGCTGGTGACTTGAAAGCCCCGGGAAACCATCGGGCCTTCTTCTACCCCGTAAATTTAGGGTGGACGATTCTGCCATGTAAATACTGGCTTCCCGGGCTCGTGATTTGTCGGCCTCTGGAGTCGCGCTCTCTCTGCAAGCGGGGACCTGGCCTTTCACTCAGGCGATAGGGGATGGCGTCTCCTTTGGTGCGCGGGCGTTAAGTGCATGTTTTTGTAGGGGCGGCCACCAGGCGCTAGGAGGTATTTCCGCTAGAGCACTAGGGGCACCTTCGAGTGAGGCTTCAGCACCACAGACAGCGGTCCGATGGCCAGGTCCAGGGCGCTGCGGGCAGGGTCGCCAGTGTCCCCTAACCTGAGAGTCACAGCCCAAAATCTATCCTCGTCCCTGCACGCCCTTTTAGGCTGCAGACTGTCCGAGAGTGCCATCAAACCCAGTGAAGAGTGCCTAATTTGACCAATCAGGGATGGCCTTCGAGAGGACCAATTGCGGGAAGATGCCTTCGAGATTGAGCCAATGGGAGCGCGCGCAGTAGAGAGCGCTGCCACGCCGATGGAAAGGCAAGGCCAATCATAATGGCCCGCGCAATCTGGGCGGCGGTGATGCGGGTCCCCGGTTGGGTCCTCTCGGGTTTGCCCGGGCGACCTGGCTGCCGACCCCGGGGACCCCAAGCAATGGCTTGTTCTCCACCCCGCGTTCCTCCTGACTCCTGTGGGATCGGAAACTGTGCCTGTGACGGGAAAGGGGCTCCTTCTGGGCGGCAGACCCGGCTGCAGTTCCCATGGAAACTGCTGGCTTCTGGTTGTGCGGGGAGAGCGAAGGGGACTTAGCCTTGCGGGATGGCTCGCGGGGGCGGCCCCAGCAGAGGGACTCGCTCATCCTCGCCGACTCATCCGTCCCCAGCTGGAGTAGCCCCCGGTCCGAAGAAT